ACTATCCAAGGTTTACATATCGATTTTCACTCTTGTGATAAAAATTTGGAAACTACTTTCTTGTTTTCATTTGAACGTTTTTTAGCAAGTTATATTTTCCAGATGGACAGAGAATTTCAAGTGTGTTCATTTTTATGATGAATCGTACGACTATTATTTTCAATATTGTCACTATGTTTTCTTCATCAAGTTTATGCTGTATGTTTTTTTTAGTTCATTCTGAATACCACATTGATACAACTATTTATTTTTTGACAAAACTAAATTATTATACAACAAATTACAAAATAATTTGGTAATAACACATAAGTAATGATATTAGGATTACATTTAAAATATGAATTGTTAATTCATGAAATGAAAAATGAATTTTCTCCTTTTTGTTTTTACCTTCATTAATTAATGTTCATAAAACGACAGATATATTTCATTTAGTAAAAGATGTCGATTTCTGTTTCTTTCCTTTTTTTTTTCTTTTTTATAAATTTATTTACAAGGTCATTAATGTCAACATTATATAAAGAAAAACTTTTGATAAAAACATAAAGTATCTATCTTCAACAAAATTTACAAGTGTAACAGTATTGTTTGAAAAGAGTTCCCCCTTTGAACAGTGATACTATATGGGATTATCGGTTTAAAAGCATTACAACATGCTATGTTCCTTTCTTTTTACTGTCATCTCTTTATATTTCACAAAATATACATGTCATTTCCGCGGCCAAGTCAAAATTTAGATGACCCGTTTTCCCGATGTTTCTTCAGAGTGGACGGCATTTCAACGCCCTCAAGTTCTGCCCTGATTTCTTTCCCACATTTCACAGTACTGCTTTGATGTATCACGAATTGTCAAGAAATTATTTAGGTAATCATTTGAGGACTGCTTTCGATTTTATTTCAAAAACCTACCGCGGGAATTGTGTCACGTGTTGCGGTTGTAAGGCTTGTTTCTCCGGTTTCTCTTCATGAACTCTAAATAAGTGTATGAATCGTCCCAAATAGTTCAGTGGATCGTCGGACATATGTTTTATGTCAACGGTTTTATAAGTGTGCCACGCCCTTACGTTCTGTGTTAGAGATACGCATTTGCAATTCATCGGATATCTAATCCAGAAAATACAGGATAATCTACATTTAAAGTAGACGTACGAGAGAACAAGGTTTGAAGAGCCGGCAGTCGCCGCGGCAGTGGCGTCTGCTGTATAATTTGGTAAGGGAGGTAAAGTCGTAGAATACGGGTTATAAAGACGATACTAACACCCTAAATATATATTCCAAAATTAAAAAGCACTAAATGTTCTTGATAGTTAAATTGGACGTTTTAGTAATGTAAGGTTAGGGACGTGTCTTATCTCTAGAGTTCAGTATATTAACGTGTATTCTGGTTATCAGAACTGCTTTTGAACCTTTCTTACCTGATAACAATACCTGCATGCATGCTTGATAATCTCTCGATTAATGGATATAAGTTCTAATATGGAAAATACAAACAGGTATGTGAGTAATATAAAATTCACAAACATATATTCAAGGGCTTAAACATATGGGTTCGGTAGTGTAATGTTATAAAATATTTTATACACAGTGTGAAATTCTGTGGTGATTCTGAAGATACTGACATGAAGCCTGCAAGTTGCTTGAGCAAGTTAAGGGCATTATTTAAAAATGTCAAATATGTAAACGAACCTCTCCAGGCATACATAGTTCCATCAGGAGATGCACATCAGGTATGTACAAATTTTGTGAAGTAGACATTCATGATAATGAGAATGAAATAGAACAAACTTGTTTCTTGAAACCATTTTGTATTATGTTTTTCAGAGTGAATATTTAGCTGATTGTGATAGACGCAGAGAATTTGTATCAGGATTTTCGGGATCAGCTGGTACAGCTATTATTACAGAACATCAAGCATGTCTGTGGACAGATGGCAGATATTTTCTACAAGCTCTGAAGGAAATGGATCATAACTGGACTTTGATGAAAGAAGGTTTGTTGATCTGTTAAAAAAAATAATTGAATGAGCAATCGGACCATAGTGTGGTTGTTGTAAGCTCTTGTAAGGGAAAATTAAATTATTGGTAGTCATGTTTCAATTTTTATCTAAAACTTCAATATGTAGGATTGAACAGAGCCAGTTTACTAACAATTTGCTATAGCTCTCTGAAAACGAAAACTGTGCACGAGAAGGAGCTCAGAGAAGGTCGTAGAGTAAGATTTCATTAAATGAAAAAGGAATTTTGTGTATGAAAATTATAACTGTTTAAATAATCAATCCTTAACAGAAGTTGTGACTTACAGTAAGATATTATTTTGAGGAGGATGTAATTAAAAATGTTTGTAGTCTAGGCCTATATGTTATTCAGTAATTTATTCGAGAATTTCTTTGGAACAAAACACTCTTCACGAGGAATGGCGTAATACAAAATGTATATTGTAATATTATCTGAATGCTTTCTATTCATTCTATACTTTTGATTTGGTTAAATGTTGTAGGTGTTCCATCAACTCCATCACAAGAATCGTGGTTATCAAATAATTTACCTTTGGGATCCCGAGTCGGAGTTGATCCAACTCTCATTTCGTTTAGTTCATGGAAGCCTCTGCAGGTGGCATTGGAAGCAGCTGGTCATTCACTGGTTCCTGTCACAACAAATCTAGTAGATTTGCTTTGGGATGACAAACCTCCTCCACCAAACAATGTTGTAGAACCATTGACATTAAAGTACACAGGTAGGTAAATCAATGAAGAATTCAAATGGGGGAGAACAAAAAAAAACAACACTTTGTCTTCATGTTGCTGTAATCCCAGTGCAGATCAGTTTAGCCATGGCAGTAATAACCTTGACACTGCACTTAAGTCAAATTTATATTGTTTGAAGATATCAACATTTCATGTTTCTCAAAATGTTGTCCCCATTGCTTAGTAATAGATCCAAAGTGTCTTTGAGTTTTAAAAGATTTGATGTACTATTACAATATGCAAAGAAAATCTCCTATTTTCCTGCCATGCCTCCATTTGTAATTGTTTTCAATGTCCTTCAAACAAATGTTTTTTTGATTTTGCCATGACAATCAGGACTTAATCTTTCTCCTTTGTCATTAAAACTGTACTGAAATTTACAATTACTATTTAGTAATGTATGCTGAAATATGTCAAGATGTTTAACTTCATATGCCTATAATTTCATTAAATCTATGAAGGATGTTTCATTTGTGTACATATGCATTTATATTTCATTTTAATGCAAGTGTTTTTAGTTCGCATAGTAATAATGGGTAAATAGTGCATGAAATAATGAAAATTATTCTCCTTGCCTCTTGTCGTATTCGCAGAGTCTAAAGTTTTCTTCTCATGAACAAAATTTTTATTTCACACTTTTGTACCGCTAATTACTTTTATAATATTATGTTCATAGTGAGGATTTTCTGAACAATGAATAGATTCTGTGTATGCAATGTAATTCATTTAATTTCATTTTATAAATAATGTTTGTCTTTCTTTATGTAATTTCATGCTTGTTTTTTATAGGAAAAATTAGCAAGAACAAAGTTGAAGAAGTCCGATCAATGATGAAGGAGAAAAAAGTTTCTCTTCTTGTGATTACTGGGTTAGATGAAATTGCTTGTGAGTAATTCATCATTTATATATTTGTATCTAGAGAAAAATTCTGTGATTAACATTTAATTTTAACTTTTATGATCTAAAAACAAAGGTTAAAGTTGAGTACACGGTAATCTCTTCATGAAGCGTGGCTGCGAGAAGGGGTGTGGCGAAGGGGGAGGAGGGGTTTCCTCTAGCTCTCCCTCAAATTACGCTAAGCGCTCTGACAGAAATGTATGAAACTTACCAATAGGCAATTTTTATGGCAGTTTGACTGACAGTTTTATAACCCCAGTTACTTAATAAAGTAACAAAGTACACTAAATCTTTCTGGAACAAGCAGCAGATGGGATAGCTTGAAAACAAGAATTACCATCTGAAGGCAATCAAAATTGATATTTGGTATCCGAACTCTTTGATGGAAGTTGTCTATAAATAACTCTCCCCCTGGGACCCAGCTCTCTTCTCCACTGAGCAACTAGCCTTGGCTCCAGGGAGAGAAAATGTGGTGAGCCCTGCTCTAGATCAATGATTTAAATATATCAATTTTAAATACATTAACAAGATTGCACATTCTAGTATCAATAATAGGATTATTTTCTTAAGTGAATTTCAAAATATACATATTTTCACATTCAGCTTTACTTGAAATACTCTCGAACAGGACATAATAAATTGTTATATCCTGGTGACAAAAATTAATATTGAAAGGCACATCTAAAATTGTATTCAGCAGTGGCTCCTTACTTAAAAAGATAGTGCTGCACAAAAAAATGTGGCAGGATAATTTTCATAGTTCTGTAATTGAAATTATTGTTGGTACAATTGGCATTATAATTAGAAGTAATGATATTATAGTAAGTAATTCTGTAGGGAAATTTAAACTTCAAATAAGTCAGAAGAGCAGGACAGTCAAAACATGCACGACACTTATAGGAATAATCACCTTAGCCATTGATGTGTCTGGAATCCCTGATCAATCAGTCATGCTCTCTCCATAATTGATTCTGCATTGTCGACAATCTCTAATTATCATAAAGCAGTCTTGACATCCTTTAATTCCTCTCGCATTGTTGGAACATCATCTGTTGTCCAAAAACCCTAACTCGCCATAAAAAACATAAAAGTTCCTTTTGGTAGTGACATAGCGCAAATGGAGAATGAAACTGATTGCTTTTCTGTGGGGCACGGCAGATGTTGCTAGGCTATAGGGCTATGGCAGTCATGCGCATCCTGTCATAGAACATCATGCACTTTGGGCCACTGAACCTCAAGTAACACAAAGCTTGAGACTGAAGCAAGCAGTCCTGCATCATGCCATTTGCAGCCCAAAGCCTTTTTCTTTTCCACAATGACACAGTGGCTCAAGGTCACCAGTAAGGTCTCCATTTGAGGTGCGATACCTACACCTCAGGGGAGACTTCTTCAATTATGACATTTAGCCAACAATATTTTTTCCAAGCTGCTTAGTGTTGGAATTTGAGATAATATATTTTCTTCTAGGAGGGAATTAATTTCTAGGATGTTTTATCTCATGTGGTCACTATAGGAGAGGTTGAGAGTTCTCTTTAAACGAATCTTCTTGTGCTTTTTTTTAATGTAAGTGAAACAGGAGTAGTGACTTAATTTCAGTATATCTGGAGTTGACTGTATTAAGATTTTTACTTCCTCGCATACTACTTATATACTATAGAGTATTCTAATGTTGCAGGTGACGAAGTTGATATTTTGACAGAAATATTTGTATTTTAGGGCCTTGATATTTAAAAAGAGAATAAATCGTGTTCCTATATGTAGTAAATTACTTCCCCTAACATGTTGTGTAGTCAGAATCCATGTTTTGTGGGTCCCTGATACCAAAAAATTTGCTGATGGCAAAATGTGTCTCTCCATCTTTACTTGTGTATGCAACTCTAGAGCCTAAACTGTTCAGACAATTTTCCCCAGAATTGATATTCCCCCATTCATCTAGCCATGGGGGCCTGTGTATTTGAATCAAATAATTTGATTTTTAGGTGTAAGGATACATAAAACAGTAACAAAGTTTTCTTGTGAATGGCTTCAAATTTTGTTAATTCAATTTTTTCCTTAGAGCAAAAGATAATTGTAATAAAGGATAAATTATAAATTGTACAGGTTTCATTTTTGTTGACCACTGAATATTTGAAAAATGCAAAAGTTGAAAAAGTTGTTTTCTCATAACTTTTGCTTGAAATAAAGGCAGTTTTTGCAAAACGACTACAATCTGAAAAACAGCTTCAATATTTCTTCTCAGAGAGAGCAACAGATGCTTAAAAAATGGTACAGACTCCTATTTTTGGTATACTCTTCATATTTTTGAAAATTGCAAATAATTAGCATTGCAAAAGTACACAATGAATTTTTTTTGTTTCCCGTCATGAAATCTGATATAAAAAATTAATCTTTAAATAAGATCGTGTACAATTGTTTGAAAAAACAAGTAGTTTTGCAGAATTTGTGCTTGAAGTAAAGGCAATTTATCCTTTTTTTCTCAAAAATACTCAAAATTCTTTCCTTTCGTACTTAAGAAATGGTGCACTCTCATTTTCATTTAACTCTTAGAATTTTTGAAAATCGCAAAAATTACAAATATTGTTTGTGCTACTGGAACACTAGTTAATAATGAAGCAGTAAAT